CAAATACTTCTACAAGGTTTCACCGGGCTGTTGCTTTATTTTTCCCAGTGCAAATTCGAACTTCGGCTGTTTTTTACTCGTAGCAAAACTCAGCAAGAATCTACGTCCGAATCTTCAAATGATCTGATGGATCCCGCCGGTAGATATGAAAACCATGATTGAGCTGCTCCTGTCAGCGTGGTTGCAAATAGCCGGGTTATCAGCTGCTCTTCAATTCCCTTAATGTACATTGCTGTATCAAAGGCATCCAAATGCACTTGGGGGTCTTGCGTCCCATCGTATTTTGGAATTTCAGATAAGTTGAGGTTCTATGGAAATGGTGCATCCACGATCTCGTCCTCGAAGGGGCTGTCATTGTGTTGCCCGCTGTGATACTTCCTCCTATAGACCCTGGATACGTCGTTCGGGTTTGGGTTCCGAGATGGGCGTATCCAATATGAAGATTGAGGGTTCTCTCCCAGCCTTTCTGGTTGTCCTTCGACGTTGTTGTGAACTTCGGGTCCTAGATTGTGAACCACGTTGGGTATGCTCCTTTGAGGCCGACCTTCGACATTTCCAATTCCGCTCACCCGAGTCCGGGTTCCATCAGGGTTCGCCTGGGTGTTTGAGATCCGCAGGTCATTCATGACCCGTGTTATAGCTCGTTCCAGGTTCGGGTTTGCGGCTCGACCTACTCGAGCCTCCAGCTCTAGCATCTGTCTAGCACTTTCCTCCCTTTCAAGCCCGTGTCTTCGCTCCATCTCTTCCATTCTCCGGAGTACCGCAGCGACAGCCAGATCTGTCACTCGGGAATCACCAACTGCACCATTTGGTACCTGCACAATATCCGCCATTTGTTCCTCCATTGGTTTTTAAACCTTGCACGTACGGGGCGTCCAGATTGACGGCTGGGGTCGATGCCGAATCGGAGTGCACATCACTAACGTGCACTGCATCGGTATCTATCTGCCGATGATCCAAAGGATTCTCCCTGATTGGAGAAATAGGCTGGATTCTGGAATTCGATCTTGATGGTTGTCGAAATCCACTTCTTGTTGTCCTCACCATCGTGGCTTTTAACCAAGTGGTCGTGGGTTCTATTTTCCACAGACGGCGCCAATGTTCTACTTTGGGCAGATGTGTCCGACCGTAGGTCGGGTACTTGATGTTGGATCTAGGACTCTCTCTAGATACCTATCAATTAGGTATCTTGGGGACAACGAATTATCACACACTATATAATGGCAGCAGCCTGAAGGGGTGTGTGTATGCACTGTCGTGATTGCATAAAATAGGGTTAGAGAGATCAGCCATACTTGTGGTATTTAGCTCCTATTTATAGAACTTACCTTTGGGCTTGTGTTAGTTGGATTTCTTGTAGTCGTGGGCCTTTCCTCGGTCCATAACACAGAGTAAATTTATATCTCCACTTTTTTCTCTTTTCTGATTTGGGATGTGCATGTGATTATTTCGGTTCTAACTTCCAACTCAAATAAGGGTGGGGGAAGTTGATTAAAGTATAAGTGACAAATATTACAAAAAAAAAAAAGTATAAGTGACAAATTATTTTATTTTGTTAATATATATATAGACTCTCTGATAAGGGATAAAAACATTTATTTTTTATGAGAAGAATTATAAAAGTATTTACTAATAAAAAATGAAAACACGTTAATTAAATTTTACTCCTAATTGGTTATACTACTTTGGTTTTTGGATTTCGTCTCGCATCCTTTGTATGTGTGTGACTAATCATTGTTTAGAGTATTCATAATACCGAAATGTATAGAAAAGAGCTGAACAAACGAATTTATAATTGATAAGGACAAACCTTATTTTCGAAAACATTAATCAATATTAAAAATTGGAAAATGTTTTTCTTATATTGTTGGAGATAGTTATCTTATGTTAGTGAAACAAAATTAAAAGAGAGACCCACAAATAATTGGAGAGAGAAAAATAGAGGTGACTCACATTTGTTATGTGTGTGTAGGAATTTGATTTATCTCATGTTGAATGAGATAAATATAACCCTTAAAAATTCAACAACCTATAAATGAAGTTTTAAATATCCTTTTATAAGGTGCCAAATAAGTGAAATAACCAAAAAATGCAACTAAAATATGCCTAAAAAAGGGAAAGTTTAAATATCACTAATTACAAATCAATCAGTATTAAACACACGTAAAATAAGGAAATAATTAAAATAAAATTAACCTAGTAATTAAAAATTAAGAAAAAAATCAATTCACATTTCAGATCCAAGCAAACTAATTCTAAGTGAATCAGTTAGTATTATCTCTCAGACGAGTGATTTTTTTTTTCTGAACTCGAATGCTATTTCTTCTATCAGTGTTTCTTTTTTTAATTCCAACCTTAATATTGTACAGGTCAATCTACTACTGAGTGCTAGTCTATAATGTTAGGGGAAATTAAAAAAATCGAAGTATACAAACACTAATTACAATGAAATTGGAATCTAGTTTGGCTAGTAAGGGACTCGATTTTCCTTAATTGAGGTCATGAGTTAGACTCTTGTGAATAAAAAAATTTGCAAGAATTTAACCCCTCAATTTAATTGAGATTCAAAGCCACTTATAGATGCCGAAAGTTAGTTAAAAAAAAAAAAAAACTTAGAATGGTCCCTAGAAACCTCACCAAAATTCAAAAGATTGTAAATAGAAAGTTTATTGCAGCCGTCCTTGATGGGGCACATGTAGAAACCTTGGCCTTTGCATCATTACACAGCTGTTGAATTACGAATTACAATCCACTTTCATTACAAAATGGAGATCCAGACCGCAGTGTGCTGCGCATGCAATGCCTGAGATTAGTGCCTGAGCTGCTCGGTAACATCAGTTATAGTAGATACATAAGTTTGAATTTATTAAGATACTTGCTACTTCACACAATAGATTTGGACTCATGAATAGCTAATATTGCTCAGGGTTTTTTAAGCTTATTTATAATTTCTTTATAAACTAAGTGATTTGTAACGAGTGTGATGAGAAAAATGTAGTAAATATTATTGAACCTATTGGGTGAACTAGCTAGGGTAAATTTTGTGTCTCTCTTTTCTTTTTTCCCCTCGTTTTCTTTATGACTATTTGTGTGTGCTTGTGTTTGGTCCCAACTCAATTCTGTAGAGAAAGCCATTAAGGTTCGTTACAGGGGCTAAATTCTTATATTTCAAAGTTAGATAAAAGTTTAGGATAATTAGAGTTGGATTAACTCAAAAAAAAAAACGAGATAAATGTTATTTCACTATACTAGATTATTCTCTCTTATGTACACATGCCTTCGACACAATTTAGTGTGCATTGCCTCACTCATCAGTGGGGCACATAAAGACAAAAATGATTAGGCTCAAACGTGACTTACAATCTAAGTAAGTACCCTTACTTTTAAATACCCCTCTCTTTTTTTGGTAGAAACTTGAAGGTATTCTCATTCAATTTTTTCCAATCACTTTGTTCTCGAAGTACGTTCCCAAAAGCTAGCTCTTCATTATAACGGAGGTGCATTATATCACAGTCACCGAAAAAAAGATGAGACTAATCCTCCATCAAGAGGGAGCCTTTTCCCTCTAGCTTGCCCCAAAGGATTCCAGAATTGTTTGGGCCAAGGATTAAACTTTGAACCAAGCAAAGCTGGGCACTCAACTTTGCCAGTTGAGCTACCGGTAGCTTAGGGGTTAAATGCCCCTCTTTTTCATTATAGAGCTCCTCACCTAGCTCCCCTTTGATTCTTGGTGCGTTCGCTGGAGAACTACACATAGTGATGTTATTGTAGAACTTAGATTTATACGATTACCTGTCTAGATAACTAGTACACTAACATACTTTAACACTAGAGAGAAACAAATCTACTCCTAACACAAACAATTCAGTACTTATATAATGTAACACCGATTGACAATTGCAGTTATAGAGTTTTCAGCATGCAATTAATCATCGAATTTTGATAATTAAAGTGTTAAACTCTTGCGAGGAATTTCTTTTTCAATTTCAATATATATATTTTTTCATCATTTAAAATAACCTACGCACGATTAATGTGTGTTTTGGTTCTGAAAAATAAACAATATCAAGAGAGAAAATGATATTTCTTCAATTAAAAAATTGAAATCATTTTCTAAAACAAATTGAACCCAAAAAATGAATAAATTATATTTAAAAATAAAATTAATTCAATTAAGCTCTGTTAACTTGTGTTTTTTAAGACACATAAATTCTTTTTCACTTTTCATTCACATCACTTTACACAAAACTAGTTAACCAACAAGTGTTTACAATGAAAATATACATTTTACAATCAATAACTCAAATAATTTAATTAATAAGTTGTGCAATCAATTTTATATTAACTTTGTATGATTGCAAATGTGCAAATGGTACATTATAATTTATTTATTTTTAGTGTCGTGAGTTGAGTTGTGACTTGAAAAATATTTGTATAAATTTTGTTTATATAGACTGAAAACTTAATTTAGTTAATATTATATTAAATAATTATGTAAATTTTTTATATTAGTTAATAATTAATTAATTTAATCTCCTTGAACTTACGTAAATAGTTTCTACACAAAAGTACGCGCCGGTGAGTCGGTGACTTGTGAGGAGCGAAGTTGCAGTCAGCACGCGCGCACACAACAAAGAAGAGAAAGTCAAACTGTCAAAGCATCATTCATAGAAACTACAATTAATCATACTTCAAAGTCCAAATACATGTTTAAGTGTTACTTAATTAAATCCTTAATTTTTTATTTTATTTTACTTCTTCACCGTTCTTTCTGTCTCTCTCATCCCTTCCCAACTATCATTTTCTTTTTCTTCTTCCACATTTTCAAAACCTTGTCCTTGTGTATTTATAAGAAGCCCCACCCTTCTTTAGACCCTGTAATAATCCAATACTCTCTCTCTCTCTCTCTCAATCTCATACCTCTCCAACTAAGAGCAAAGGCTAATTAAACCTCTTGACTCAAAGTTTTTTTCTTTTTTGTTTTGATGAGTCAGAATCAATCAATGGATGTAAAAAGAAGAGGAAGCAACACCATCACCACCACCACCACCTTAAGTGAGGACGAAATGGACCTCCGAAGAGGTCCTTGGACCGTCGATGAGGACCTCGCTCTCATGAATTACATTGCCACTCACGGCGAAGGTCGTTGGAATTCCCTCGCCCTCTCTGCCGGTAACTTCTTTTTTTCCCTGTGTTTTAGTTTGGAATATATATATATATTAGTGACCAGAAAACACTTTTTTTATAGCTTCTATCTTTCCGTAATTTTCATTGCCACCAATGAATTTTGGGAACAAACCCATTAAGGTTCTAACAAATTGGAAAGCCAAAGTTTGCAGTATATTGACTTAAAAGAGCTTATGATCCATGATGGTGAATTATGCTGAGCTTTGATGTACTTGTGTCTAGGTTCATATAATTTTGTTGTACAAATAATGGGACAGAGCATGAAATTTATGAATATTGGTTGGTGATAATTGCTTGGCCGTACCCACTCGTGAAAAAAAAGGGGAAAAAAATGATCAATTGATACCTCCACCCAAAATCATTATTAATGTTTCATAAAAAGTAAGAACCATATAAAGGAGGGGAAAAAAATGCTCTTTTTATTTTTCCCTTATTAGTAGGTATTTTGTTATTATCTGAGTGCTTTACCAATCTGAGAAACCTTATTTAAATTTGTTATAGGCCTCAAACGAACAGGGAAGAGTTGCAGATTGAGGTGGCTTAACTATCTCCGTCCTGATGTTCGACGTGGAAACATCACGCTTGAAGAACAACTTTTGATTCTTGAACTCCATACTCGTTGGGGAAACAGGTAATTTACCCAAATATGCATGCATTCAAAAATACCACCAATTCTTTATTATTATTATTATTAAAATCATTAATGTTATACCATTTTGATGGGATTAATTAGTATTAATTAATTTAACCAAACAAGCACGTTTATTGATTGGATATATATCAGATGGTCGAAAATTGCGCAGTATTTGCCGGGAAGAACTGACAATGAGATCAAGAACTATTGGAGGACCCGTGTCCAAAAGCATGCCAAACAACTCAAATGTGACGTTAATAGCAAGCAATTTAAGGACACCATGCGCTACCTTTGGATGCCGAGGCTCGTCGAACGCATTCAAGCAGCCGCAGCTGCCTCATCCGCCGCCAACACCACCGCCACCGCCTCTTCTCCAACTTTATCAACCACCACAAGTAATGTCACAGCCAATAACGGTTACAACTTCAGCAACAACCTTAATAATAACAATATTGAGGTTCAAAATGGAAAAATGGGGTTAAGTACTAAACCTGCAGTTATGAGCAATGATTTTGTGTGTTCACAACAGGTGACACAAAGTTATACCCCAGAGAATAGCAGCACAGGTGCATCATCGGATTCGTTTGGGACAACAACTCAAGTCTCAACAATATCGGATTTGAGTGATTATTATTACAGTGCTGCCCCAGTTAGTAGTAACAATAATAAACCTAATCCTAATCCTGTAGATTATTATCAATTACCCTCTCACTTTAGCTACTCGGATTGCATCACAAGCCCTTCTGGTTTGTTCGATTTCCAAGCCATGGAACCAAACACCCCGTGGATGCAAAACGGGGACTCATCCGACAATTTTTGGAATGTTGAAAACATGTTGTTTTTGCAGCAGCAACTTATGAATGACAACATGTAAAAAAACATTGGGAGATAGGGGATGGTGGGAATTTCATAATTAAAAAAAAAATTTAAAAAATTGAAGGGGCTGTTGTGAAATTTGGAGAGATGAAAGTGGAAAGTAGAAACATCAAATAAAACAAATTCATATGTAGGACACACACATAGGATCTATGATCGACATATATAGATTGTAAACTCTGGATTGGATTATGGATTATTTTTCAGTTTATATAGCTTCTTCTTTTATTTTTATTTTAGAGGAGGTGGTGGAAATATTTGTAATTTGTCTTTCTTTATATATGATTTCATTCTTTGAGATTATTATCTTGTTTTGTTTTATTTTACTTTATCTTGATTCGATTCTCATATTAATTACCTATCTTCTTTTGGGACTAGGAGCTCGTGTGAATGCATTATATATAGATGAATGATCGTACATAATTAAATAATAATTTAAAGATAAGCATAATTGGTTCCACTCTGCACGCTTTTCTTTTTTCTCATTTTCAAGTCCCTATAACAACTATTATTATATTTGTAATCCCACTTTTGAGACCTTATCCATGGGGCCTGAACCAAAGCCTTGTCTTCCAAAGTGTTTCTAGATTGTAAAAGAAAAGGTCACAAGTAATGGTAATTTTTTTAGACGTGGTATTCTATTATTGGTTGGTTAGCTCCAATGTTCAAGTTGTCCATTAGGGACAAAACTTTCAAAAGTTCAAACATGTGTATGGCCTTCCATATTATTATCGTTAATGGACAAAAAGCTTAATTTGCCACCTACGATTCCAAGGACCCAAATTCCTCCCTCTCACGCTTGTTAGATTTCGTACGGAGAAAATTATTTTAATTGGGGTCCAAAGTTATTAACTCTCAGTCCAAGCCATAATCACTATCAGAGATGTTTCATGGGTAATATCGCAGTTTCACCACACGATTTCTTTTTTCTTTTTTTTGTAAACACACCACACGACTTTATTAATAAATGTAAATAGTATATTTGATCTCAGATTTGAGAAGCAAATTAACCAGAAATTATTATGTGCTGTGAACAAGAAATTTCTGAATTTCTTAATTAGTGGACTTGGATTTGAATTATGTTCAAAATTTGATAGGAATTTTTTTATCGCTTTTGTGATAGTATCCGACTTGACTGATTAATCAATTAAATGAAGAATTGTATTAATGGATTAATCGATGAACCAGTAAAAAAATTAAAAAAATAAACTGCTTAATTTATATCATTAAATATGTACCATTTTAACTTTAATGTTAAAAATAAAAAATATTTATTGATGAATGTTCTTACATGATGGTTTGAAAACTAATATATATTTTTAATAAAAATTAAAGTGTTTAGTACATTACATATTAAAAATATTAAACACAATATTTAATATTTCTAAATAATATTTTATGACACTTGTTAACAATGACATTAGATTTATAATAAAATATGAGATAATGATAGAACACAAAATTACAGGTATAAATGTGCATGCGCTATTAATAATATAAAATAAGAGATTTATTTATTTATGAAAAATACTTTTTTATGTTATAGAAAAATAATTAACTCATGTTGTAAAAATAAAATTATAAATAAGCTTCACAATTAATAGGAGAGAAAAAAATTTCTGTGTGTAAAAAATTATCGAGATAAATATAATCTTTTATTCATTTATTGAAATACAGATAAGAGATTTATTTTTGCTACGTGAGCAATGAGAGTTTTTCCAAAACAGCGTGATGGAATAGTTTAGAGAGAGAGAATTACAAGAGAGAGAGAGAGAGAGAGGGCTATGGCGGCGGAGAATCGTTGTAGACCGCGTGCCAATAAGGAAGGGAAGGGAAGCCATGGAAGTGGAGTGGTCCATGAGGAGGAGAGTTCATAAGTTGCCACGTGTCCATCTTTATAAATAAAATCAATTTTGGAAAAGAAAAAACGCTTCCAGGACTGAATCACTGACAGCCGCAACCCTTGAAACAACCCCAGTATACGATATTAGTCCACGCATGACCTATAAATACGGGAATACAACCGTTTCTACTTCTCTGTTATTTAATTCAGCTTATTTGTTTTTAAGGAATTCTTCAGACACCGAAATTTTTTTTTTTTTATTTTGAGTTATAAAATTAAAAAATTATAATAACAAAAATTAATATAATCTCAATGTCATTAAAATCGACCCGGTCATTGACCCGGTCGAAGTACCGGGTCACTAATTTAATCGCATGATCCGGTAATTTTATGTAATTTTATAATTTATATTAAAAAATTATAAACATACTCAAATATCTAAAAAAAATTAATAAAAATTTCAAATATTTTAATATAAAAAATAATAAATCACATATTATTATCAAATAAAAAATCAAACAAAAATATAATGATCGTGATACGATGCTTTAGGTTCTTAAAACGATATCTCTAACTATAAATTAATTCAAACTTTTAAGCATAGTACATAATTAAAATAATATTAGTGTTGTAGGTACATAACTTATGTAAGTCAATAAGTAAAAAAATATTCAAATATTAAAAAAAAATTAGAATTTTTTTGGGACCGGGACGGGTTATCGGGTCACCGGTTTTTATGAAAACCGGCCGGGTCTGACTGGGTTGCACTGGTTCTAATGCATGATGACCAGTCCGTTATTTCAATCGGACCGGTTATATGACCGGTTTACCGGTTCCCAGGTCGACTTGCACGGGTCTGTCCGATTTTAATAACTATGTATAATCCTGCAATATATTATAATTACAAAAACACCTTAGTTTCTACTCCAAAACAATATTATTTTAAGCTCACTAGAGATAACTTTATCTCCGATTATCGGAGAAATTCTTTACCTTTTTTATGTATATAAATAATACAAATATATTATCTGATACTGCAACATCAAATTGAGATAATTACTATGAGGTGTAATTATCTATAGTTAAATTAATTATTAATGACAGACACTTATTTAAAAATTGTGGGAGACGAAATTAAAACTGCATGAAAATTATTCGGTCACTTTTTCATTTACAAACAATATTCATTGATACAAATTTTCATAATTTAAATTTGAAATTTAATTTAATTTCTACAATGCAATTTTTTTAAAAAAAATATAATTTTAAATTATACAAAATAATTTCTATATAAAAAGATAATAATTAGATATAAACAATTTAACGCTAAATAAGAAATAAATTTCTCTTGATTGATTTCATAGTTGGGAAAAGTATTTGTTATTTTAAATGACATAAAATTATGTCATTTTAAGAGAGAGTTAGACACATAATAATTTCTTTATTTAAAATTTATTTAAAAAAAAAAACCAACCACTTTTTCTCCCATAATTTTCATTCTTGGTGTGTATCTTTTTTCTAAAATGACACAATTTGTGTCATTTGAAATGACAAACATCGAACCCTTAAAAGTTATATAATTTTTTTAAAATAATTTTAAATTATAAAAACTATTGCTAGAGATGTGTAATCGCGTAATAGGTTAAACGTTTAGAAGGGTTGGTTCATGATTTTATACCTAGCCTCTTCTTCTTCTTTTTTGAATACGTACCTAGCCCTTTATGACCCAGTGATTTATAGTTCGGTCCTTCTTATCTCATTCTTTTGATAAAAAAATTTCAACATACATCAAATTTCAATTCATTTGTGATAGGTTCATACATTGTCCACAAGTTCCAATTCTAAAAAGTTGTTGCCTTTTGGTGTGAGGAAATGTGTTAAAAATGTAAATCATACATGTATATTCATCTAACAATTAACTTATGTTTTTAGAAGAGTTGACTGGTGATAATTATTTTAAATTATACTCCTATAAAGTTTTATTTAGATATTTATTTTTCTCTTGCAAAAGGAATAAAACTTTCACATACCTTAAATTTTTATAAGAAAAATAAAATTAATTAAAGCGAATTTGTAAGAACCAAGTCAGTAATTTAACCTTTAACTATAAAAAGAAACCCCTTTATATACGTTTGAGAAACGTATTCAGGTGTAACTTGAATAAAGAAATAAGAAAAGGAATGTATAACTGGATTCCACAAACATAAGGGTGCCTGCCAAGACTTTTTATTCTTTTGAAATTTTTCTGCAATTCAAATTCGAAGCAAATCAATCTTGGGGTAGTGGGGTCAGGGAATGGGATGAGACCTTCTGAAGCGACTTCCAAGTCAAGGGGCATGGTTGAACCCACAATAAACCATGTGGGAATTCAGCGTGGCATTGAGTTGTAGCCTTGTAGGGTCGACTCTCAGAGTCACGCTACGCAACTACTTTCCCCAACTGATATTTCACCCAGTTACTGTTGGAAAGGGATTGTTCACGGTTGCTCTTATAATGGACTTGGGAACCAGCTGTATTTTGTGAAACAAAAATCGATTGCTTGTCCATAAACTTCATTAATTTAGTTTGAGTCCGTTCCGACTCATGAAGGAATATTTGGATTGGCATAAATGGGTAAAATTATTGTGATTTCGAATGCTTATGAATTATCATAGTTCATTGACATAAAGGGTATATCTTTTGTAATGTAAACATGTGAAATACCCTTGTCAGACGATGAATCTCCTTATGAATAAATCTTTTCGTAGACAATAATTATTTGATGATTAAATCTTCCCACCTATAACTCAAGAAGGAGAGAGGAATGAGGTGTCCACACTATTCTTATTTTTGAAATTGAGTCTTATAATCATATATGTATTGCTTTGATAAAATGAATAAAATAATTTTTATCACATTAGACAAATCCAAAAGCAAAAAACGAGAAGATGCTAATGCGTGGAAAGCTAATATAGATATGTGGAGAGTTGGCGCTTATTAAGACATCAAATTACGTCTTGAGACAATTATATTAGGTTTTATTTTTTTATTAATATCATTGTATTTTTTTGTTATTTTTTTATTGACTCTTATTATTTTGAATGTTCGTTAAAATTTCATATGATTTTTGAAAATCTTATAAATACATATTGTTCTTTTAAATATTATAAATTCTATTAAATTTTTTTAAAATCAAATTTTATAAAATCTTGATTGTAAAATAAAGTCTTTTAAAAAAGTCTTTAAAGTCATTACAATACTATACAGTGGTTTAAAATCTATAAAAAAAAATTATTTCAAAATAGTCTTTTAAAATTCTAATCTAATACACCCCCTAAATCTCTTTGGACTAAGGTGTCAAAACAGATTATGAAGCGTGGGTCGACGCATGACACAACACGAAAGTTCATATTTGGATTGACTC